TTGAGGCAGGTCAAGGCTATGTTGAAGATGACATCCAAGTTCATACAAGGGACCTCATTCGCTGGTGTTCCCAAACCCTGCCTTCGACTAAGCGGACGTACCGATCCTAAGCAGCAACCCCACGCAAAAGATAAGGGAACTGATTTAGAACGCACAACCTCACCAAACAGACATTAAATACAAACGAGTTTTCAGACCTCTAATTTGTGTTTCTCATATTCGAACCTCAAACCGAAAATGACGACACCTTATTTGGATGCCCCAACCTTAAGCAGACGACGTTTCAGACCTGCTTCCAAACCCTGCCTCTGACTATAGGTGCGCCAATCCTGAGCAGCAACCCCACACAGGCTATATTGAAGCTAAATTCGACATTAACATATGGAAGCAGGTTTAAACTGGGACCCGTATCTCGGTTTGAACCCCTGTCCTATGTTGAAGATTGAACAAATATTGATAAACTACCTCGGGCTTTACACGGACGGAAACATTAAATCACGTGGGTAGAGGTTAATGCTTCGTTGAACATCGACATGCCATTGTCCATATGCCGAGTCCAGAGTTGCAGTTCTAAGTCTCTCGTTAGAGCCTTAGTCAACATGGCCAGTCCGAACTCCCAGTCCAGAGTCCTACGGTCTCCACCCGAATAGAACGCCTGGTCATTATCGCTGAATCTGGACCGAAAGTTGTGTCAAATACAACTATAGTGATGGGGCGTTCTATTCGGGTGAAGACGGTAGTCTTGTATCCCAGTCCAAAGTCCATAATCGAAGTTCGAAGTCCCAATCTCTTGTCCCAGTGTAAAGAACAGTTTAGTGTTCCAGGCCTGAGTCCCAATCCAGATTATGAGTCCTCAATCGAACACTGAGTCCCGGTCATCGAATGTCATGCTTTTTTGCCAAAAAAATGACATTTCAATTTCGTTTACAAAATATAATTTGTCTGTTTTGACGAAATCGCTGTTGTTAGAAGTACGGGGGGTGCAACCTCTTTAGCCAGATATGTGTATGTGTCTGTTTCTTTGTGTTTGTAGAGCCCGTGGCGAACGAGGGTTAATGACCACGTGCCCTCATACAATAGTTCATGGAAACAATACTGATATGAACATACAACGGCCTACTATGGAATATATATAGGAGATAACATCAAAATAAACACATGAAAGTATTCACAGTTCCCAATCCAGAGTCCCCGTCTTGAGTCTTGATTGCCAATCCCAGTCCCAAGTCCTGCTCCGAGGACCCAGCCCTTCGGTCCATAGTCCTAATATAGAGTCCCAACAACACTTGAAGATAACATTAAAAAGATAGGGGTCTCCAATATCATACTGAATATGGCATCAAAAATAAAACTTACGTTGAGGAGGGGGCTTTATTGAAGATAGCATCAACAACGGCAATAAAACCCGGATACTGTGTTCAACGACGACACTCAAACTCCAAAGGTTTACGAAACATGTGCTACGTCCTAACATCCAGTCTGCACAAGATCTGTAACAAAAGTTAAGTAACAGCGACCCGACTTTTGTGGAACGTGAGCGACCAATTTTTTCACGGTATCCACGATCCTATCCAAAATGCGCTTCACGCTTTACACTGTGAAGATGATTTGGAAGACATGCTTGTGCACGGACACGAATAACACACAGACAGGAAAGTCAACATCAAACTCAGATATCTTTCTTTCACCACCAACCTGCAGTGGAAGACCAGCCTGCCTCACAAAGCGAAAGTGGTAAGCTGGAAGTACGAGACCTGAGGACACACCATGTCACACGGACAAACACATGAGCACATTGAAATGCAATAGTTGGCCGAACAGAACACAAATAAAAAAAATACTATAGTGCAAGACTCTCTCTCTCTCTCTC